AATTGACCTTCAGGGGAATATTCCTGAAATTCATCTCTCCCACCCCCATTAATAAGCTAATCTGCCATCCGTAGAGCTACAAAAGCAGAAAACCCACCTTAATATAATGTCTACAGATGCCGACTCCATGCAGATGTAAAATATTGGTATGATTTATTAAGAAGGCCTCAAATAGGTGAAACAATCATCTACTCAGCAGTCAAGTAGGGGCCTCTCGTCTGATTGGCACTTGAGTTGCATTGCTTTGATCCAAAGTAGTCGCACATGCTAAAGTGGTCTCCATGGCATCCATAAATGATGACACATGGGAGAAAGAAAAATAAAATGTGATGACAGGAGCAGGCATAGAGAGTGGCAGGAAATGTGGGTGAAAGAGTGATACAATACATTTCTGTCAGCACTGTTGTCATGTTAGATGGTAACAGCAGCTAAGCTATGGCAGCATCTTATGCAGAGACATCACAACAACGGTAAGAATGTTTTAATTTTTTTGTCTTTGTTTTAAAATGATATATTTCTGATTCAAAACAGGATAAGGCATGATACTTTATCATTTCAGTGCTTTAAAATTAGGTAAATTTCTCAAAGAATTGCAATAAATTTATTGAACTCTGTGCTATTGAAATTCCTAAATATCAAACCAACAGAATATTAAATCATGTTCTACAATTAATAGAAAGTTATAAGAGAGAAACAAGAAAGGTGTATTTTTTAAAGAAAACGTGAGTTCAGCAACAACTTTTAACCACTTAAAAATAAACATTGAAAGCAATGACAAATTATATCTGCATTAAGCTATGATTGTTTGACTAGATACCTTAAAAGCCATTGTTTTGAAGCACTGATTGATGAACTGCTGTGTTGGTCACATGACTCTCGTGCCAATGAGGCTGGAGATGGCTGCTTGAAGGTTTTGTGACATCATAGGACTCCACCATTCATTTTCCACTGGAATGTTCTCCCAAAAGACCTTGAAGGTCTTGGAATTTACCGTGAATGCCAAATAGCTTTCACAGTTGGTGGTATTAGGCTGCATACTTGGTTTTTGGTTTGATGTTGATATCCTGAAAGTTGTTGGAGATACATGGGAATAGATGCTAAAAATAGTCAGTTTAAAGTTGGTCCATGACACGATATTCACGTCGGTCATTTTATATCATTCACTTTTAAGTTCTATTTTTCTAAGTGACTGGGATTCCAGCAAATGTTGCTGCTCACAAACAGATGTGCAGACAGAAGATGTGCATTTTATTTGAACCAGTATTGACATTTCCAGGGAAGTGTGGCCAAGCCTGGCCCAAAGAGGCCTTTGCGTGCATTGTGTCCGTTATTATGTTGCAAAAATGCAGTTCTGGAAAGGGGCCCATGAAGCACTTTAAAGACGCTGCAGCTCGCACTGTTCTGAGTGCAGCAAAAGCGGGAGGCTGAAGAAAGCACGCTGCCCTCAAGTTAACTTCTGCTGGAATACATTCAAGTACATTTTGTATCTTGGGGAGACGCCAAGCTCAGCTCACGAGACCCACTCTGCAGCGGGAGTGCGCTCTGTCCCGGCGCTCCTGGCCACATGGGAAGGTGAGGGAGCAGAAGGTAGCTAGGCCGTGATATGTGCTCATACAGTGATGAACAGCCAATGTTCTGCACCGGGGAAGTGCTTGTATGCCCTGAGCTCGGGTGGCTCAGGAATGCACAACATTCTGTGCCTGCTGGCTGAGGACTCTCAGCAGCCCACCCCTGCGGAGACTGGAACATGTTCCAGATGCTTCCAGTGCAGCCGTGTAGGGCTATCGTATGGTTACAGGCCATAGCCTGTCCCTTATTCCTGCATGAACTTCCCAGCCAGGAAGTCTTTCCTGCTTCTTTCCTTTTTTACGTCTTAATTTGTTGGCACCAAGCAAAAAAGTATGCAACTTTAGAGCTCGTTTAATAATAATAATAATAATAATAATAATAATAATTATCATTATTATTATTGTTGTTGTTGCTGTTATTATATTATTATTATTATGATTATTACTGCACAGGCAAGTGTAACAACAGCACTATTAATTTCTGCACACATGCTGAAAGTATTTGTATTGAGCATTTTGTTCAAAAGCAGGACAGACATGTAAATTTTGAAGTCATATTAAAAAGCCTGAGGTTAAAAGAGAGGTTCCCCAACTGCTACACCAAGCAGGTGCCCGATTGTCTCATTTCTTATTGGCACAGCAGCTGCTGAACCTGCCAATGTCCTCAATGGGCCATTTAATGATACGCATCATAGTTCCCATTTACTGTGAAATTGATTGGTTTCCAAATTAGAATTTTTAGGCATGGTAGTTTCTATCATTTTCTGATTGATATTGCATGCAGTTGAGTTTGTGCCAAGAATTTTAATTTTTATTGTCCATCAAATCACAGTGACTTAATTAATACAATGTTCAGATTAATTAAAGGGGAAGTGTGTTTCAGTGTTGGAGCAAATTCAGCATCGGTTCTCACACTCTGTCCCGAAGCGGTCATGGAACACTGACAGCCAGACGTGTTCAGACGCCAAAACCTGATGATGTGGCATAAAAATCTTGGAGTTCCTCCTTTCCCTCTGGAACTAACTCACCCAAACTGGCCCCGCCACTCTGAGACCGCAGCCAGGGTGAACTTTTATCAAAGGCACGTCTGTTTATATACTTTTGAAAGTAATCTTAATGCTGCCAAAAATGTGTCATGACCATTGACCACAGGCTGTATGTTTAAGTGGATGTAACTGCTGTTCAAAATGGTCCTTTAATGTTAGACTCTATTATATTGCATGTCTGAGAACTGTAGCTATGGAAAACTGTGAACGTGGCCTCAGACCAGGAATAGTTTCCTGCTGTCACACCTTCTCACCAGAAACCTGTTTCATTAAGAGTGGCAAAATGACTGTCAAAATGATCAGTTCTTCTTGAGGACAAACACAAATGCTGTGATTTTGAGGTTATTGCAACATACTATAAGTCTTCAGGAAGAATGAAGAGGTATGATTTTTCATTAGTGAGATTCAAAGATGTGTTAATCAAAAAAAACTGAATTTAAAAACAAAAAACTGCGCAGACCCATGGCGCTTCAAGCACATGAGTCCAACTGAATGTCCAGAATAAGCATCCCAGCTAAACGTCTATAATGCTAGGTTCCCACTATCATGATTCGTGGCACGATTGAAATCGTGGTCTTAATCATGGAGTAATCGTGGTGATCCTATCAGACCTGATCAGATCTTGAGGTCAGTCGTGGCAATCGTGTTGATCATAGAAAAGTTTTGGACGGTTCAAAAAGTTCCTTCGATCAACACGATTGATTGTCAATCGTGATCATCGCATCACCTCGTATCTAAACCTGAAATTTTAAGCTGCTTTCACACCGGATGCGAAACGAATTTTTGGCGGGACGGATTACATTCAAAGTCAATGCAAAGACGCGAATACACGTGCGTTCCTCAGAGAAGTTCCACGATCAGCTACGAACGGCCAATCATGGCATTTGTAAAGGCCCTTTCACAATTGAGATACGACCAGTTTACAAGCACTTGCTATCACTTTTTTTTGCTGTTGCACGAGCAGTCGCAAGGTGTCTTGTGAGGTGTCGCACTCGTTGCAGTGGCGCAGGCAGTCACACTAGGTTGCACCTGAATTTCGAACATGTTCAAAATTCAGACGCGACCAAATGCGACCAATCCAGTCGCATTAGGTCGCATTGACGGTAGTATGACTGTTGTGCACCTGACTTGACGCAAGAGTTTGCATGAATTAAAAAGTTGCACTTGCTGGATAGGAAATCGTGCAACACTCGCACGTGTGCTAGGGATGTCTAGCGAGGAGTCGTGCAACATTGTGCTACCATTATACGACTGTAGAGGCAATATAATTGCTCTTGTCATACGACCCCTGATGTATTTGTGAAAGCTTTCTACGATCCAGTGCGATAGTTTTTTTTTGCCCTGTTGTACGACCAAATGGCCGCAGGCAGTCGCGCTCCAATTTTGAAAGGGGCTTAACGGAGCGCACGAAAGTGGGAACTAAGCATAAGCAAGTGAGTGACCACAATTTGCAATGCATAGTACGCTATGATGACAGTTTACAGACTGAGGGCGAAAAAATCATTGGCAACTTAGTTAAGCCAGAGATTGTCATCTCCTAGCTTTAAAAATGTAGTCTAATGAGAAACAGTCTTTCCCCAGTTTCTTTTGTTGTTCTTCTGCATAAGTTTCCCATTCAGACTTTGTTGAAATGGTAAAACATTACTGAAATTTGAAAGAGGTTCTCAAGGAAAGAAGATTAGGAAAATTGTTTGTCTAGACAGATTCAATTAACACTAATCAGAGTGCTTTTTCAAACCTATCCATCAGCGTCTGTTTGCATAAGTAATTATTTATTTATTTATTCATTTATTTATTTACATTTTGTACATTTCGAAGATGTTATCTCAATGAGGGACTTTAGAAGGATGAAACAGTTTTTTTTTCTTTTTATCACAGTACCCATCTTCTTCCACAAACAATTCGGCCAAATTACCTAGCTCGGGGATAGAAATTTATTGTGTGTGAACACTGCAAAATTATTATTGCACATGAAATTATGTGGCCAATGAGATCACAAGACTTAAGGACTCTGCTCGCTCTTTTGCATGCTAGCATTTACCAACTTAATAGACTCATTTTCCCTCAGTCAGGTGATATATACAGCGTACTTTAGCTTACCCAATACGGCATATAACATATTTCAGAGCAGTTTATAGCTGAAAGTGTTTTGCAGTTTGCTGAACATTATTTACACTTTAGCCCTCTAGTGGAAACATATGGAATTGCACCACACATTTGAGTCATTTGACAAAATACGATTTGGTGGGTCACAATAAAGCATATGAAACGCGCTCCGAATTGCTTGCCACAATGTTGCGCACACTTGTCATGAGCTGTTTAAAACACTTTTCGGTCCAGTATTAACTTATTTGTGTTTATTTTTTGTATGCATTTTCCAATTGGGGCAGCACAGTGGTGCAGTGGTTAGCACTGCTGCCTCATAGCAAGGTCATGGGTTCGAATCTGGCCTGGGGCCTTTCTGTATGGAGTTTGTATGTTCTCCATGTGTTCACATGGGTTTCCTTTGGGTACTCTGGTTTCATCCTACAGTCCAAAGACATGCACATTCAGGCTACTTGAAGACCCCAAAGTGCCTATACGTGAGTGTGTATGAGAGTAAATGGTGTGTGAAAGATGTGGGTGCCCTGCAGCGGATTGGTGACCTGTCCAGGGCGGGTCTTTCCAATAGTCAGCCGGGAGAGGCTATTCCCTCTTGACCATATTGATGAAGAAGTGGGTGTAGAGAATAGATGGATGGATTTTCCTATTGTTTCTGTTCAGATTCAGTGTGTGTTCAGGAGTGCGGGAAGTACACGCTGCCCCACCCAAACCAAGATTTTTGCATGTGGGCTCTGTAAAGGAAGAAATATGGCCAATACATGGACTAGCAGGTTTGTTCATGCAATCTTTGCAACTTCAATGACCTGAGCAATAAGATAAGATGACTGGAGGTCACTGAAATGGCCAAGGTTTGAGTTCCATGAATCTTCCTAGAGGCGTCCATTCAATTTTTTACTCAAGCATTTTCTGCTGATTTTAAGTTTTGTAATTCCTCAGTTCAGTTGCAAATTAGGGAAAGAACACAGGTCATGCATGCACTGTGCAGTACACATTTGCTTTACAGTAACCGCCCACTGTGACACACCATTTCAGGCCTTGCCTATCTGTGACCATTCAGTACAGAGCGCACTGCGAATAAAATATTAGGACTATAGATGCACTCACACCAATCAGCTATAACATTAAAACCACCAGCATAATGTTGTGTAGGTCCCCGTCATGCCACAAAAACAGCTCAGTGAAAACCAACGTCCACTTATATTCCCGGATGCAAGGTTTCCCAGCAGAACATTTCCCAGAGCGTCACACTCCCTCCACCAGCTTGTCCTCTTTCCACAGTGCATCCTGGTGCCATCTCAGCCCCAGGTAAATGATGCACAGGTACCTGGCTGATGCACAAGATGTGAAAGAGCACAGGATTCACTGCACCAAGTGCCATTCTTTAATTGCTCCAACGTCCAGTTATGACACTCCCGTGCCCATTGTAAGCACTTTCGGCAGTAGACAGCTCTGACTGGATGCTCCATCTGTTCTACAGCCAGAAAGCACTATGCACGGCAGGGTGTGATGCACTACGTGATTAGACACGTTTCTCACATAAAAATCATGAAAATTCTGAGCGACTTGTGCCTCTGTTGCCCTTTTGCCGGTTTGGACCAGGCAGGACAGCATTTGCTGCCCTATTGGATTGATGAGCCTTGGGTGCCCATCGCCCTGTCGCCGGGTCTTGATTTGTTCCTCCCATGACCACCTTCAGTAGGTACTCATCACTGCTGACTGAGAGCACCCAAGATGCCTTGCCGCTTCAGAGACGCTCTGATCCACCAATCTGGCTATTAAGATTTGGCCCTTAGAGTAAGACTTGCTCAGGTTCCAATTCTTCCACATCTAACATGATGACTATGAGAACCAACTGTTCACTCTGCGTTCAGTGTCTGTCTACAGACCTTGATATGCACTGTTGTTCAATGTCATTAGCTTCATCTGTGAGTGGTTTTAATGTTTTGCCTCATCACTGTGTTTTCTTCCAGTCAAAATGACATCATCATATGTCAAACGAAAGGAAGGCCTTGAGAGCATTGGCACCACCAAATATTGCACTGAAGGCTGGAATCTGTCTCATTCCCACCGTCTGGGTGTTCTCGACACAAACTATTTATTTCTGTCACAAAATAGTGTGAATTAATTCACTATGTCACATGTGAAAGGCAGTTACCTGTCTATATGCATTAGCTGTCAAAAAGAATACCATGTGTACTTTTCCTTTGAAAAAAATATTATTCCAGCTTATGCAATGGCTGTAATGTATCATGGGTTTTTCCTGTTTAGATGTAATAAACCATGGGTGTACAGCAGTGACAAATGGAAACTTGACTTGCTGGGAGTGATTCTCATTTTTTCCCAGTTTTGAGTGACCAGCAATCAGTGTCATATTGTTCAAGACCGACACCCATCAGCCCTTAGTTGGTGTGGCATTGCTGATGCTTTTAATTTTTTTCAAAAAGATTATTAAAATATTTTTTGTAAGAATTAAATCTGAAAGATTTCCAAAATAATTACATTAAAAGCATGACATTATTAATGCTAGGTTAATTTTTGAGGCACTGCTGATTCACTATATGATCTCATGAAATTAATGTTTGCTTTCTTGAATTTACTTAGCAGCACATCTTAATTTGATACTCTGTTTTTAATTGGTCACTGTTGCCCTTGTCAGTATTCCTGCCGACAACATAATTAAGGCCTCGTCCCAGGTGGGTTTACTAAACATTGGCACTAACGCCGGACGGTAAGAGCACACCACACATTTTTGCACAGTCAGGGCCACAGTGTACTGCACTGAGTTTTTTTGGGGGGGAGAATACAGGTCGTGTTACATTGACTCAAGGACTTGTCGTCGCAGGAAACCATGTGAGATGGATATACTGGTTTGTTCCGGGCGACATCTTGGGTTACAAGGCGCGAGGAGGAAGGGCAAGGATGTTCTTACGCTGCAGTTGCATCAGATCCTTCCCCTCAGGTGAGACCAAAGCATGTGAGACACCCCTGGAAAAAAAAAAGAAAAATGCAGCGAGTCTTGGGTTGAACCCTATGAGATTGAACTCGTTCCTTATAACAGAATGACTGATGGGATTGCTGGAGTAGATTTACTTGGCACAGGAAGCGAGAGGACCAGCAGGATGCCTCCATTCAGTAAGCAATTGAAGACCCCAGTGCTAAGAGTACTTCAGTCACAAAATGTCCATTTTGAGAAAATTGACATGGGTAACTTTTGTCTACTTTTTCTTCCGTCTTTCTTTCCTTTTCTTTCCCATATTTCCTTTCTTTTTAGTTAGATGACTATAAAAGATGTTTTTCCATCTTTACTGCACATTCTGTGAAAATGCGACGAGAACTTTTAGTATTAGACTCTTTTATTTCACTGTGCTTTGGCCATTTTAGTACATGCCATTATCAGATTTCAATCCAACAATCTTTTTTGGGGTGGATGTATGATATACTGGCTGCTGTACAGAAATAAAATAACATAGTTGAACATTAGTCATTTGGAATTGATGCAAAATGACGCACAGAGCTCTCAATTTTGGTCAAAAAGACATCAAAGCGTTTGAGAAGGTGTTGAGCTGAATCTCAAACAAATAATTCTGTATTATCAACAGGCTGAGGTTTCCTGGCCCAGGTTTGGCACTGACCCTTCTTACTGCTGCTCGACACATTAAGATAATAAAAAAAAAACACCTCACAAGGATGGCATGAAATGACTCCTATACTGTTGGACCTGGAGAAGCAGAGAGAATTTCACATCCGACGAGGAACATCATATGTGTATTATTATACAATTATTCAAGGTGGCTGAAATGTGTTTAAAATTTAGAATGGAACATTTCTTACCATGACCTTAAGCATCACAGATGCTTGTGATTTGGTGAACTCAGCTGAGAACAGTCAGAATTTCCTCACAAAGCTACGGTCTTTAAATACAGTCCAGATCATAATGTCCTTAACCTTTGAAATCTAAACCCCACACACCACTGACTGACCCCAAATGCATTTGACACTGAAGTAGCACCACCGGGCATTACAAGAGAATTACCATGTATTTATAGATATGTAATTGCAAACAAAGAAACAAAAACCCATTTATCCATATACAGTGGGCTCCAATATTACTGGCACCCCTGACTGCCAATGCACAAAAAATACTTTCAAAAATTCTAAAAAACATATTTATTGAGAAACTCTAAATTCCTACATGTGAGAAATACTGAACGATATTAATGCTCCAATGGAACTAACCAAAATCCCAGCAGGGGCTGCAACATTTTGTGTTCTGTACTGTCCTGTAGCACAAGCCACTGCAGTAACTGTCCTGCTCCACTAGGGGACTGGCCCTGGCCACTGTCCTGTGTACTGTCCTGTGGCACGAGCCACTGCAGTTACTGCCCTGCTCCACCAGGGAGCTGGCCCGGGCCAGTATCCAGTGGCATGAACCCCTTGCAGTAACTGTCCTGCTCCACTAGGGGGTTGGCCCGGGCCAATGAATGAGTGTCTCGAGATAGTGACTGGCCTTGCACTGAGGTACGGTCTCGGAACCACTGACCGTACAGGCCATGCTTGAAATACTGCAATTACATGGTAAATGCCTGCCTTACCCTCAGCATAACTGTTGGCCAAATCATTTATCTTGCCTGCCATTCTGATAAATAAATTGTTATGAATGTAACAGTTCAAAGTATTTGAAGCCGGTAAAACGAGCTAGTTACAACCAATGTAATCAAGCAATATAGTTTGCTGGTTTTTTTATTTTTATTATTGCACTAATCTGGCATAGTAATACACTAGCTAGTGACACCCAAAACCCAATGAATATAAAGTAAAAATAACTGAAATTGTGTCGGTTTATTCTCAAAAATATGAATGCTCTGAACAGATTATTTTTATCTAGCCTAGCTGGAGAACGTTAAAAATGATCGGCAGGTTTGGAAAGTTATGTTAATAAATTGTAGCCTGTTCACACATTGCTGTCGGCTGTTAATCTCAGTTGATTATTATGCTTTCTTTCTGCACCATAGAAACATAATTTTAAATAGAAGGCTATTGCCATACTCAGACAGAGGGGTGTGATACAGGCTCATGATGTTATACTTGAAATGAGGTTTTGATTACAGCTCCGTTCAATTGATTTGAAAATGCGGTGGCTGTTTCTGATTAGTAACTTGGCTTCAACGAAAACACTAGAAAATGACTTATTATTAATATTAATATTAATATGCCAGATTAGTGCAGTGAAAAAAAAAGCGCTGAGCTGCGTATTGCTAGACTACGGTGGTTGTATCTAGCTTGTTTTACCGGCTTCAAATACTTTGAACAATAACCATTTATTTGTCAAAATGGCAAGCAAGATAAATGATTTGG